GGGCCAAAACAGTAGGTATATTGCAGCTTTGCAGCTCAAAACATTAACACGAGAGAGTACAAAAAGCAACTTCAAAAATCCAAAAAACAACATTAAAAAAAAGTAAAAAACCATAAACAATTATCAAAAAGGATTGCTGGCCAAACTGCCAGCAACAATTACTTTTAATAAACAACGTCTGGTTATGTACTGTATAGAAATAACTTGCGTTTGGAATTTCAAGCTAGGCAAGCAAATATTGTTATGTATATTGAATAATATGATCTTATTTAGCATTACATTATTCAAAACTCCGAATACGAATATTGAACATTGTTTTCGCAATATTAAAAGCAGTTTATCAAAATTCCAAGCGTATCCAAATTCTAACCGAAAAACTAATAGACCAACTCTAATAAACAATAATCAAATAGTTGTTACTTCTAATACCGATATATGAGTAGTACTCGTATATACAACTTTTACGAGTACCATTTATTATCTTGTTATGAGGAATGGTCCAGAGGGTCGTCCTGGGGGACCTCACAAACTGATATTGGCGGATTCCAGAGGCGGCCCTGAAGGGCAAACTTGTTAAGTAAATACGACGTAATGGGATTTTTTGTTCGGAAGGTCAATGAAAATACTTTGTTTGTCTACACTTTTGTATGACCGCTTGAGATTTGGATATTCCTTTGTAAAATAAAGAAAAATGGTAATTAGTTATTAGATTTTACTAAGTTGGGACTCACAAGGTGGACCGACGACATCATAAAGGTAGCAGGAAGGCGCTGGACGCAGGCCGCTACCAACCGGGCAACATGGAAAGCATTGGGGGAGGCCTATGTTCAGCAGTGGACGTCCTATGGCTGAGATGATGACGATGATGATGAAGAAGTTGGGACTCTATATCAATAAACTCTAAACTAAGCCGAGCATCACTAAGTAAATGGAAGCAGTACTTAAGCAGCAACTTTACCTAAACCTAACTCATGATTCATTATAAAAAATATCCTCTCCTAGTCATTTGGAAGTTAGGGAACGTGTTCCATCTCAAAGATTAACTCCTCCATCGGTCAAAAGTGGTGTTATAATAGAGAAATGTGCAGCTTATCTTACTAGCGCAACTAGGAATGTGAATTTCAGGTCATAGAATAATGTTCTAGTTGTTTCTATTCCACTGCATTACAGCAATAAATGATTCAGAGTACACTGCACATCAATAAATCCTTTGTAGCGGCCGCAATTAGTAAGACAGTACACTTACAGACAGCTGAGTAGGCCAAGGGCCAGTTACCAGGCTTGAATTATACCAAAATAATATTGCTAACTCGTAGCATTATTGTAATGAAATAAGATACATTTTGAGAGTTATCGTTACTGTTTCATTGAGCAAAACACTACAGCCAGGATGAAGCAAGTAAGGTTAATTTTTCTACAAATTTATAATAGTTGACAAAAATAAAATATAATGGTAGAGTTTAAAGTTCATTCTGGGAATGGGTAGTCAATGCGAAAAAACGCTCAACGGTTGGAATGTGCAGGTGTCAAAATGTCCATACGGACCGGTTGTTAGTGTGGCAGAAAGTATGAACGTCAAAAAGTCCCAGTGCCAAAATGTACATTGTTACCATGGTTACAATGGTTTAGTGACAATGGTACACATTACAAAATACAAGTACAACAAAAGGTGTGATCATTGAAGTAATATTACTNACTACCCAGTCCCAGAATGTTAAAGTTGGTAAACAAAAGTTAGCGAGCCTAACAGGCGAATCAAACCAACAATGGCACATTCAGGAACATCAAATTAAAAGTTTTCATGTCGTTGTCCTTTGCATAGGTATTTGTCCAGCAGTAGATAATATCTTTTGACTGAAATGGTGATGATGAAGTGATGAAAACTCTTCTTCTAATAAATCTTTGATTTGTCAGTTTTGCGTGATGTGCAATGAAGGGCATCTTCTATCTTCTATTTAAATAAGTATAGTCAAGAACAGAGCTGATTGAATGTTACTGCTATGCTCCGTGTCAATCTTCATCAGAATTTCTGATTAAATAAGATCAATCAAGACGTCCACGCAGTGTGAGACGGGATAAAGGTAGCAGGGAAGCGCTGGACGCAGGCCGCTACCAACCGTGTAACATGGAAAGCATTGGGGGAGGCCTATGTTTAGCAGTGGACGTCCTATGGCTGAGATGATGATGAATCAAGACGTCAAGTTGTCTCCTCGCCTAGACAAGTGCCATAGGTTACACGAGCGCGTAATAAAACCCCGGTTTGTGGCTGTTCACGCCGGCTGAGTCTGCCTTGAACTGCTATTTTGTGTTAGCACTTAAAGTAATTAAATGGGATTATATTACAATCTAGTCTTAGGCCGAGTTGCACCATCTAACTTTGATCGTAGCTATGACGATAACCGGTGTATTTTGTATGGAGTTTGACAGATTTTTGACGTTTGTCAAAGTTAAAGTAAGATGGTGCAACCCACCCTTAAACTGTTAGACCAAAATGGGCATTTTCCAAGAGAAAAAAAATGTCTAATTTAAGTTTAATAGATTCTATGCATCTGTTTCATCGATCTGACAAAATAATGGTTATGGTAATAATGATTCCGCGTCGCTGTTTTTTATTAAAGTCAAGTCTACTGACTGATATTGATTTTAAAATTATTTGTAAGTATAACTGGTAGAAGTCAAAAGCTTAATTTAAGCTTAAAAGTAGAGACACAAATGGCTCTTAATAAGATAACCAGCTAAACTAATTACCAGAATGTGTTTCTATTATCCAAATGATGGTCCCATAATACTCGTATTGAATAGATAAGTTCTTTGAATACTAACACACTACGCCGCCGGTTAAATAATAATGTTATATGGATTAGTGCAAAGTGCAAATATAAACAATTGAATAAGCTCGCTTATAAGCTTCAAAGCGTCATCAATAAAGCTTTCACGTTGCCTAACACCTAAAATCCATTTTCGCTTGCTTTTGTATAGCTTTGTTTTAATAGCACTCCCTCTACCATCACTCACGTGAACTTTATTGTCTGCGTCATTAGGTGCAATTTTCTAACGCGCTCCATCAATCCTGGTCTGGGTTTTGCTATTTCATTGAATTAGAACGGCCTAATTAGTTCCATTGTGCCTATAAAAGTTGAGGGTTTATTTCCCATTTGGCTCAGTGAGGGAGGCCTTTGTTGACATCTGCACGTTAGCTGATACTGGGGATGCAGATCAGCCAAACCATTCCGTGAAACAATGTTTTTTGGTAGTGTCAGAGAATTTTATTTAAAAAGATTGGTCAATATTTTAACAAATTAATAAATCAAAATGAAAATGAAAAATCACGGAAAATACTTCTGTCATCAGAATACAATGCTAGCAGAAGTGTCGAAATGTTACATCACGTAGTCCGTTAAGCTTAAGCTCTTGGCCTGTATCTCATCTGATGGTAAGTGATGATCAGGCCGAAGGTGGAAGCGAGCTTCACCCGGAATCCTCAACCACTGAGGAACCTGGCTATCTTACCCAGAACTGCGGAACACCATTATGTTAACATTATGGCGACAGACTTAAAGTCAATAAATAGCCTGAAACGAAGCGCCAAACTTAAACTTTTAGGGCTAGTATCTAAGTTACGGAAAAATATTTTACGAAATTACAGAATTAAGACATCAACGAATGTTTCTTTGACCTGCTCAAAGCTGCTGCTGTTCTATTTTGGTTGTGGCTTAAGAGTTACTGCGTTCATTACTGGGAGCAGCTGCGGCCGCAGCCGCGGTCATGCCATTCAGCCCTTGAAACGGTTATCCTTGCTGGATGTAGTTCTTTTGTATGAGCTACGGAAACTTTGTTGGGGTAACAAAACTTGTAGCTCAATCACTCGTACAAGTAATTGAATTGAGATGTTTGATATCGACTTATTAGTTATATTCAAAACAAACAGCAAAGACTACGTAATGCAATCTCCATGATGACGATTATTTTTTCACAATGATCTTTAGATCATTATCATGATCTGAAGGCCATTTAGTCTCCATTGCAGTAGAACGATCCTCTCTTCTAGGTTGAACCTTCCCAAGCTGGGTTGAAGGCCTGATGTTAAATTAATTGTTTAATGTCTAACTATAAATAGTAATGAGTATCCGCACCCTTTAAAAATTGTATTCAATTAGTTGACTGTTGCGCTTGCCGGAACGTGGCATTCATTCCAGAAACGATTTCCTAATTAGGTCTGCGTGTTATGTGTCCTACCCATTGCCAATTCATATCAACATACTAATTTCAAATTCCTTGTTCCAGGACCTCTCCCAGCAAGTGGCATCAATAGCATCCCTATCAGTTATCACGCTCGTGCTGTCACTGGTGCTGGCACTGGCGCTGCTGCCCGCCGCGCCGGAGTGGGAAGCGTTCGCGCTGACGGGCTCCGTGCTGGTCACGTTGTGCCTCGGAGCAGGGACGCTCATGGCCACGCATCACGCGCCGCTGCCGCTGTTCGCGCTAGTACTGGTGAGTGAGCGAGTGTAGCGTCCCTAGTGATCAACTGGCGCTGCTGCCCGCGCCAGTGTGGAGGCATTCGCGCTGACGGGCTCCGTGCTGGTCACGCTGTGCCTCGGAGCAGCGACGCTCATGGCCAAGCACCACGGGCCCTGCCGCTGTTCGCGCTCGTACTGGTAAGCTCAGCGAGTATAGTGTCCCTAGTGATCAACTGGCGCTGCTGCCCCGCGCCGGAGTGGGATGCCTTCGCGCTGACGGGCTCCGTGCTGGTCACGCTGTGCCTCGGAGCAGGGACGCTCATGGCCACGCACCACGCGCCGCTACCGCTGTTCGCGCTTGTACTGGTGAATGAGCGAGTGTAGCGTCCCTAGTGATCACTAGTCGCTGTTACCCACCGCACAGGAGTGGGAGGCGTTCGCGCTGGCGGGCTCCGTGCTGGTCACGCTATGTCTTGGTGCAGGGACGCTCATGGCCACGCACCACGCGCCGCTGCCGCTGTTCGCGCTCGTACTGGTAAGTCAGCGAGTGTAGCGTCCCTAATGATCACCTGGCGCTGCCCGCGCCAGTGTGGAGGCATTCGCGCTGACGGGCTCCGTGCTGGTCACGCTGTGCCTCGAAGCAGGGACGCTCATGGCCACGCACCACGCGCCGCTGCCGCTGTTCGCACTTGTACTGGTGAGCCCAGCGAGTGTAGCGTCCCTAGTGATCACCTGCTGTCGCTGGCGCTGCTGCCGCGCCGGAGTGGGAGGCCTTCGCGCTGACGGGCTCCGTGTTGGTCACGCTGTGCCTCGGAGCAGGGACGCTCATGGCCACGCACCACGCGCCGCTGGTGTGTTGGTGTGTGGTTCTTTCTTTCTAAGTGTTTTGCCACTACCTCATTTGGCGGAGAATCGACGAAAGGTGGAGTTTGACCACGTCTCAGCAAACGTAATCTAGGACGCCCACTTTCTCGATGGGCGAACGATCTCCAGAACCTCTACCTAACTGGCAGCAGTTGGCTGGACAATAAAAGCGGGAGATCTCACTCTCTATCATCTATATTTATCTGTCTCGGATAGATTTTTAGCAAGCTTGGTGTCCCTAGATTTTTAATTGCATCATTTCTTAAACTAAGTTATTCTGCCCATGGTTCGCATATTTACCATCCAATGTTAAAAGAATTTAACAAAATTTTTGAATTCAGCATCTAAAACCATAACCCTAACCTTTACCACGTACGTGTCAGCTAGCCAAGATGCGAGTAATATGGCTGAACTAAAAGATAATCCTAAGAGCATCTTCGTGTAATCTTTTGAAATGACGCCTCCTACTCTTAGTACGACGGATTTACCCATATTTACGGGACGATCGATATACCCATATCTGGTTAATTTTTTATAGAGTTTGACTGATTTCCATTGAACAAGAGCAATTTTTGATAAAACATCAAGAAATTAGGTAAATGGACATCTATAAATAACTGTTTTCCGCTTGGATACGAAATATTTTCAGACAAATTGTTTTGTAAATTAAATATCAACTACTTGGCAACATGCCATTTCTAGAGTATCTGTTTTGTAACACTATCCAGATTGTCACAGAAAAATGTTTGAATGACGGCCAATTAGAAAAAAGAACTTGAAAAAAAAGTCATGATCTTATTTTGTTTTGCATTCGTTGCATCCGTAATCACCAACATTCTTATTAATATTTGTGTGAGTTGTAACATCCTTGAAAAATTACTTTCAAGTTTTTGTTTCTATTAGAAAATGTAAACTAAGTGCTGATTAATCGCATTGCATCTTTGCTCATATTTTCAAAGTACTTACTAAGCAACCGTCTGTAAACCATTTTAAACTGTTAGAATATGAATTAATTTAAAGGAGTCAGTTATGTAGTAGGTATGCTTTGTTTTGCATGACTTGGCAGTCTTGGGTGTGATTTGGACTTAAAATTTTTTGCTGACTGCATTATATCTTTTAATGCTAATTTACCTATAAAAATACCTGAGAGATATTATTTTATCCCAGTGCACCAAAGTCCAATTTACTTTAGTGTCGATTTCTCCTAATTTCAAAAGAATTTTCTATGTAAAATGCAAGAAAATTATTCGCTTGCTAAATAAAGCTCGAACAAAACCATAATTCCGATGCACTTTCAGAGCTTTTAATAAAAAGCTTGCGACTTTCATTTGATTTTATATAACGTTGTCATCTTTATTATCCCACTAAAGCCTTTCAGCGTCACTTGTTGCTTATCACAAGGGATTAGGGTTTAATATCGGTTGGTGATTTTCACAAGATTTCTTCGATTTATGTTCCAAAGGCTTTAATTTTAAGTGGTGGGTACACGTGAATTCAGGCTGAAAGCATTGGCTCGTAAACAATGAAGTGTGGGAGTTGAGAGGAAATTCTTAAACGTCACTCTTTGTACAGGTATGAAGTAAGAGTGTAAGACTTCTATACCAGGGATGTTATGGATATCCGTAACCGTGACCGAAACTTTCGGATATCCGAAATAAAAAAATATCCAAAACCGTAACCGATTCAAAAGTTTCGGATAGTTTCGGATGTAGGCAGTTTAAATTGTTTTTTGTATAGCATTATATGTAAAGGCATAACATCCTGATTTACCTTTATAATGCCATCTAGTATCAATTTTTATTTTTTTATTACTCTTTATTCGATGTAAAGTGTGCGTCCATGAATGAACATTTTATTCTATTCTGCATTCTAGAGCACAGATATCCGTAAACGTAACCGAAACCGATATAATATTAATCCTATATCCGTTACCGTATCCATAACCGAAACTACATATCCATAACATCCCTATTCTATACTTATGTGAGGAGATTGCTGCGCTCTTCAGTGCTATACAAAAGCAGTTAAAGTGTAAGAGGCTTTTTAAACTTTGGGTTAACCCTCGACTTTGGGAATTGTATTCATATTTGAAAAGACGTAAATTGTAGGGTGGTTCTGGACAAGTTTAATGGGACCAAGAGAATATAAACATACTGTAAAAATACCAACAACTGAATTTCGATATACGATTCCCAGATCAGTTAATTTAAAATTCACAAAACAAACAAACTGTATGATTTTATCTAGGCAACAAATCTAAATTATTAAGTAACAGCGTGAAAAGTCACTTTTTAAGGTTCGGGAAAAATATACTTCGCTACATTAAAGAAAAGTGCAGGATAGGTACAGTTGATTGAGGTACTTAATAAAAATATAAGGAAAAAATTTGCGTATGGTAGGTATTGCGGTTTTCCCTTAAAACTCTATAAAGATGAGGAGATTAGGGGATCCCTGCGAGAGCTATAGCTCAGCTATAACAGTTATTTCTTTGAAGGGAACATTGTATATATTATTAAATATATCCTTAGAGTCGTTTTGGAGTAATATTAATACAGATATTTAGCATTAGTTTGCTATTACCTATTAGTATCAAATCAAGTTAATAAAATAAATCTGTTTAACTATAAAAAAACTAGATTCATGATTTAATTTTCATAATACATGCCATTTACATGGGACTTCAAACAACTGAAAATGCTTTCAAGATGATCGTTTAATTTAAAATTCTGATTGCTAATCTGTCCCCAATATTTCTTATTAGAAACTTTTATTAGTTGCCTCAGATTTTTGACCCTCGGAATTAATTTGATTGAAATGACAAAGTTGTCGGCGTAACGCTCCATCGGCACTCGGTCGTCATCGAACTTTGTGATCCGGCTGAAATTAGTTGTAATCGTAGTTTAAATTTGAGTTAGTTAACTACAAAGTGCTTAACAAGCGTGTTTGTTTTGTAGACAAGCGAACTTAACCCATTTAGACCGATAATTATTTTTGTAAATAAAAATGGATTTTTCAGCAAGAACTGACAAAGAAAGGCATAAAAATCATGAAAAAAATATTTTAAAAAATTATTCATAAAAAGGGGGCCGTGGGGAGCCCGTACCATATAGGGTACAGTAGGTCTATATGCATGCAAAATATACTAGTTGTTCAAAGAAGTTTTTTATTTATTTTTCTATGATATAAAATAAAAATAAAATCACATAATCACTAGTATCACACTTGGCATACCTTTTAAGACGTTTTCTGTGGCACTAACCACATTTGGTTCTTTTTTTCTACCTTTTCCGAAGTTAGTGAGGATAGCTGATGAAGGCCTGGCTTCTTCTGACTTGTTACGTTTATTGCTATCAATAACCGCATTTAACAATACGATGATGGAAAATTAGCTAATCGATCGCAGAAAACTCTGAAGGTAATTATTTACATCGACATTATCTTTATCGCCTGAATCTTCGTCAGTCTGATCATCATTAGTGGTCATCTGACAAGACAGCAGTAGAAAAATACCAATATTGCTTTATGTTTGCTGAAATTATCAAATTTTTCAAGAATTATGGCAATATTGTGAAGCATCATTAGCCTAGCCAAAGAAAAATAATAAAAAATAAATTATATTTTCTCGCAAGATTTGCTTATGCATAGACCTACTGTACCTTATACGGTACACCTATTTTAGACTAGAAAAAACAGTACAAAAATAATCTCAATAATATTTTTTTTGTAGTCATGATATCTATTGTACTCTATTTTTTTAAATAAAATTGATAAATATTATAAATTACCATAAATAATATGACATATGCCTTCTTGAATACATTGTAATTTTTATTTTTGTTTTCTGTCTAGGAATTTCAAAAATATTTCCGTAACCACTTGTTAAAACGTATTTTTAAATATTTTTATGTAAAATAATCACTTTAATCTTACTGTCACAATCATTTTTACAAAATAACAACAGTTTGGTTTTTCAAAATATTTTCAAAAAGATACCGTACCACATAGGGTACGGTAGGTCTAAATGGGTTAAGGATATTTCTTAACTTTTTGTCTGAGATTAACGTTAGATGTAGCTTCACATTAAAACACAATGTTTCTGTAATGTGTGTATGTATAGTCCGGGCCAATAGCAACTGACACATTGACTCTCTTTGAGTCAATTGAATGTCT